TAAGCTTCAGCTAGCTGCCACATGGACTCTTCATGGATTCAGATATGAAGTCACGCATCTTATATTCTTGGTTTGCCTCATCATGATGTCATCTTAATGTTTCATTTGGATCATCTTCTAATTCATGCACAAAATGCACTTCTTTAGGCCTTATGATGATGTCATTCTAATCTCTTTCTTGCATCAGATTTAATTCACGCATATATGGTTCCTACTTCACATATGATGATGTCATCTTATGATTCCTCAAGTTTGATCCTAATTTCACACCCAACATGCTCCTTCAAGACTTTTATTCCTTCCTCAAATAAATTTTTAAATGGCACCAACTTAGCTCTTTAATTCTGAAATTAAAATGCCAAATAAGTTATTTCTTGCTTTTGAATTTTCTAATGAAGTTGACTTAGTTTTTTCCCCTTAGTTTCAAATTTGCTTCTTCAAGAATCTAAAAATAAAAGATATAAAACTAAATAAATCCTAAAAAACAATTAAAAAAGAAAGGAAAGAGAATTAAGGCCCAATATCACAATTAGGGTATGAAAGTGTCAAAATAATCATCAAATAGCATTATGAGGGTCTATAAAGTCAATATGTAAAAGACAATTAAAAATCAAGAAATAAACCCTAATAGACATGATTTAATGTCAAAAACCAAGTGTATAATATGTAAAACATGAGATAGATCAATGAGCGATTTCTTTCATAGTGCACACCAAGATTCATACTGTGCTTGTGTGATTTGGAAAGTGGGGTCTTGTTTTTTATCTTGTCCACTACTAGCTCTTGGAAAACATTATCTAAAGGAAGAGTCCATGAAAAAACACTTCAGACCTTCAATATGATCCTTCCATGCATCTGCCATAGTAGATTTGCAGATGATTTGATTAGCCTTGGCCTGTGTGTCAATGTTTAAGACTTTATCCCTATAAGAGATTGGTTCTTGCTGATTTCCACTGGCCTTCATCTTAAAAACATCACCATCACCCTTTTTTTCAAAATTTTTTCCTGCTTCTAGAGAGGATATTGGCTTCCTCCACCGTCCTTCTCCCTTCCACATTACTTATCATGCTGTCACGTTGCTCATAGAGAGAGAATTTTACAGAGAATAAGAATTTCATTATTATCAATAAAAAAATAAATTTTTGAAATGAGTGAAACATGTCACATTTTAATAAGAACAACAAGCATTTCATTTTGAAAAGTGACGAGCAAAGCTTGGACCATGAAAGCTTATTACAAACCAATTGAGTACCTAAATTAACTAGCAAGGGGTTGTTTCACTTTAACCAATGGTTTTGAATTCAAGAAGAAATGTAACAATAAAAGTCTATAGAGTATGTTGCCTATAAGATCTGCTTACTTAAACCTAATCAATACCAAATCCAAGGTAATTAAGGGTCTAACCCTAATAAGGATTATCAAGTTTATTAAATTACATAAATAAGGATCCCAAGTTTTCTTAATGTAAAATACTTCCATAAACTTTCAACATTCATAAATTAGAAATTAAAACATAAAAAAAGAAAGAATCAAAACATTTGCATATAAACACCAAATTATTGAACTCTGTATAAAATAGCATGCATCGCGGCTTATTATAGGTACACTGCGGCATGTTTACACCTGTACCATGCGTTGTAGTGTATTGCACAAATTTTGATAGCAAATCCTACTGTCATATGATAGTACTCGAGATAAACTTTTGACACTTCTCATTTTTCCATCTGACGTCCGATTGAGGTGATCTAAGTGTCTATAAAGAGCTTTCTTCTAACTCTAGCTAATAGCACTAGTTTTACAGTTAAATTATTATTCTAACAAAAGTTGGACACCCTTTGCAAAATTCACTCCTTTTTCACAACAACTCATAGTTAGGGTGCCCAAACCACAACATATGTGCCAAAATTCTACACTAACCCTTAGACCACACTTAATAGACCATTTAAGACTCATGCAACATATCACAATCAATCCAAAACACTTATTTCATAAATTCACCACTCAACCCTTTAATTTTCAAAAATATGAGAGGGAGTCAATCATGCATAAAAACATAAAATATTCATCTAATACAACTAAATATACTTCACCCTACTTGCATTAGTATTTTGACCCTGTTTAAACTTTACAATTACATATTAACAGCTCAAGACATAAAATACACAAAATACTTTTAATTATAACGCAAGTAGTTTAAAATTGATCATATATGATCCTGGTTGGCAATAACAACAAAAATACACATGAATGCATTTATGAGGCCTACAAGTAGGATTATACTCAAAATCCTACGCCTTCAATAGTTTTTTTCAATCTTGATCCAATGAACTAGGCCCTGAAATATTGACGAATAAAGGGTGAGTACAACCACTCAATAACTAAAATCAACCTAGTCTATACAGTTGTATATCAATTAATTATGGACGCAAATGGTAATGAACAATTATTATATGCATATATATATATATATATATCAAATATAGCCTCAATCACAAAAACAACAACCAAGTCACCGAGCATACATCACATATCATCAAAAATATCTCAATTACGCATATCACGGGGTCACAAAGATAACAATCATGTGCCCTTAAAAGACATGCCAGACCACAATAATAACAACTATGTGATCAGAACTATAAATACATGATCAATGCTAATTTTATACTCTCTTGTTACCTCTAACATAAAACAAGTGGCTATTCAGTGGTTACGTCCACAACTCAAACTAGCCTAGCCTTTCACTTATGAGGAGCTATTTAGGTGTCGTATCCCTAATCTAGCTTTCTTATAAATCAATAAAGACTAGTTAAGTTCTGGTCTCTTAAAGAATAAGTGGGATAGTCCAGAATCAGCCATCGGACAATAGTTACCTCTCGATTCTAACAGTTGATACCAGGGCAAGCTTTTGATTCTAATAGTAAGGCACTATTACTATGTGAATTTATCAATCTACTTCTCTTCCTAGGCAAAACTCTTGCTAATGATCATGCTATGCAAATAATAACAAGTTGTATGCCATTCAACATACATTAATCACATCATAACATGTTCACATAATTTTTTTCTCCACTATACTTCACATACTAATATCACATAATAACATACTCTCAATCATCATCATTAGTCACATGTGTATAAATATATATATATATATATATATATATTACTTTCAACAATTCAATACAACTTCAAACAGTGACAACTTTACATCAACGTGTATTAAAAACACCAAACAAGTTCTAAATTGTTAAATTTAACAAATAACTAATTAATAAAACAAACTAGATCTTTTTCCAATTATCTCAAACTTTTGAGAGATCTAAGGTTTATCTCTTGAAACACAAACTTTCAAAGCTTGCCAAATAACTTGAATGGTGCCAAAACCATTAATCTATAATGAAATCAAAAGGATATTCATTGTTACCTGATATTTAGGTAATTTTCAACATTCCAACTACTCATTCTCCCTTTTGTCAAAGTCGCTCTCAATCATGCCAATGGGTTTACTAGGTCCCAATACTCACATTGTCATTAATGAATTAGCAACGCCAATAATAGCTATTAAACACTCCCAACAACTCTCATAAATACAACTTTTCATATATTAATGGCCTTCAACAAACAACAACTCAAAAAACCCTTAATGTAGGATTTAAATACTTTAAACAACTCCCATTATATCTATTTTAGCTAATGGGTTCAGACTTATAGCTCATATAGACTGAAAATCATTCTCCTAACTCAAACCCTAACTTTAACCTTCATGAAAATGGAAGGAAAGGGGAGAGAGAAGCAAAATGCAATTACCTTGGGTGCTAGGAAACTTCAAAATGTCTCTAATGATCTCCAAATTCGTGCCCTAGTAGAGGTAGTGGCATGCTCTTGTTTTTCCTTTCTCCTCTCTTTTGATTTTTCAAATAGAGTACAACTGGTTTAAGCAAAAATTTGATCGAGCATTGTAGTGTATGGCACAAAGAGGCTCATCCATTGTTGGTTGCCTTTGTATGCCACGATGGACATCCCTCTCGCAACAGCATGTGGCACAAAACAACCCTCTTTAACTTTTTCTCCCTTTTTAATGGCCAGATGGCCCGATTTCACTTTAGACATATATTTAGGGCGGAAATCACAATCAAACACACTTTTTAGACTTCTCTAGCTACACACCACATTAATAAACTTAATTATACTAATTTACCTTAGTTAACAGGGATCGAATTTTCTAGCATGTAGAATATAATAGAGCGTTGTATTTGGTGTGGCTCGTTGGAGCTTTTGGAAAGAAAGGAATAGCCGTATGTATGTTATTGAAGCTGAAGAGAGGGAGGTTTTAGAGCTGAAACATTGTATCGTTGTTTTATATAATATGACAGTCACGGGTTTATTATTAAAAAAAATAAAAGGTCAAGGATACTAATTTAAACTTTAAAACGTGGAGGGTTATATATAACTCATCCAAAATTTAAGAGAATTTTGTATATTTTAACCTATTTTAATATTAATCATATGCATATTCGAGCATTAATTGGACCAACAGGTACCTGTTTCAATACGTCAATGGTTATATTAGAGAAGTAAGTGGGTATAAATTAAAATTCTTTTCACGTAACCTGAGGCTCGGCTATATCATATATTGATTAAACAAAATATAATATTATTATTCATTTAATTAACAATATTTCTAAAAAGTTGATAAATAAGATAACATAATGGCATCGTATAATCTATGTAACCAACCCTACCTAATAAAATATGGCTTCTTTTTCTTGTTGTTATTCTATAATATATATTACTCCTTCAATTTTATTAACACAAGTATGTTTAAAAAAATCTCATATTTCGGTGTTTAATAAGCAATTAATTAAATTTTTTTTACTATAGTTTCCTTGCAAAAGCATATTGAAATTACTTTTAGAAAAAAACTATTTAATTAGAAAATGAGAGAAAAAATTCATTAATTGGAAGGGTTGGTTGCGATATTATATGCCCTCTAAACAAGGACAAAACATGAGGAATATTATTTTTTTTAGGGAAATAATTAATATGGGCAACATATAAATAGTTAATCACACACAGCAGCACACAACCCTTTCTCATATCATCAATATGAGTGGGACTGTTGGACCACCTTAATTGTAACCAAACATTTTCAACACGTACACTACATTTGACAACTAAGATCTTTGATGTCTGAAAGCCTCTTTAAGAATTCATCGAAGTCATCTCCTCTGGTCAGCATGTTGATTCTAGCATATCTTGGATCACATCCAAATCGATTCCCACTTCTAGCAAGAACTTTCATTTCCTTGTCCAGATAACTCGTACAGTCTTGGTCCTTCTCACACATCAACCACGCAAAAGCTATAAAGCCAACACCATGTTAGAGACGCTGTTGAACGTCATAACGCTATATATATATATATATATATATAAACTGAACAAGTAAAGGTAAAAATAATGAAAGTATATACATACCAGGATATGTTTCAGATGATTCATTGGTGAAGTTACAGTAGGCTCTTTGAAACTTGGGTAAAATGAAATCATCACTTTGTTTTATGACTTCCCTCAGTTTCTCCCACCTCTCTTTCAAAAGGCGTCTGCTGTACTCAAAGAACAACTCTACAGATTCCTTAGACCCAAATCTGAAATTTTCATAGCTATCACACACAACTTTCATTATCTTAGCAGCACGAGTTTGTGACTCTTTCGACACTCCAATGGAGTTCATCACTATAAATGTCGTCATCTTCTTCGCAATTTCTATGTCTTTCACAATAGCCCACCTTCACAGAACAAAACCAAAGTTAACCCCCGTAAACCCATCACCTATACACAGTGTATAAAGATAAGTGATATTAGGTATTTACGTACCCAATGCGAGAACCAGAGTGACCAGTGCATTTGGAGAAAGTGAAGAGCATAAGGTCATGATTGGCCTTGTGAGTAATGGGAGTGTAGTGAGGCCAGTAATAAGCAAGGTCATGAATCAGCTTCCCTTCACCTCCACACTTGTTGTTCACCATTGGTCTTCTGATACTCCCGTCTGGGTTATTCGGAGACGTCACTATCTCTATGTATGCTTCATTCTTATCATACTTGAGTGCGTCCCCACTCCATCTGTATAGACTTGAGCGTACTATATCCGTCTCGACTGGGTAACCCTGCACTCGCAAGTTGAACGTTACGTTCCCATGAAAGTATCAATTTATTGTCTGCCTCTTAAAAGAGGAAAGCCAACACATAAAAGACATGAATATTAAACCCATTTACTTGAGACTTAAGGAATTCAATAGCATGTTGCAGCAAGTATTAGCGCTGTCTTATGATTGGAGATTTTATATATATATATATATATATATTAACACTAATTGTGTGTGTGTGTGTGTGTGACGGTAGCTAAACATGTTGACCAACAGGGCCATGGAAAATTCCCGAGAAACCCGAAGGACGCGTTTCGTGCATATATGGCAAACCAAGTGAGACAGAAGGGAAGAAGAATATTCTCCTTTCCTTTCGTTTCTGGATTTGTTGGGGCTGCTTGACTTAAAAAAAATTTGGAGAGTCATAGTCAATAAACCTTAAATTATTAATAGCCAATGTTATCGTCGAGGTGTGCAGGGCATGAATCTGCCAATAATGGGAAAAAGAAAACGTTTAGGTAATTAACTCTTGAAGAAACCCACTTGTTGATTTACATAAATTCTTGAACACGTGTAATCTCTATCATGACCTGTATGGCTATATCTATCTGTTCATTATACGATAACCACAGAATCAAAAGGCAAGTTGAACAGAAATTCATTAAGAGAAAACAAATTGTATATCAAAATGTAATAAAGCAAAAATTCAGATGACCATGGAACGTCGACACTCGGTGCCGCGTGCCACCTGTCAACCTCCGTTTTAAAAATGACAATCGGTGCCGCCTACTACGCCGAGCATATTCTAATATGCTAATATATGCATTTCATTTTATCAATTATTCATAATTTGAATTTTGAATAATTTATAAAAAAATTATATTCATTTTATTAGGCTTCACGAGAGTCGCATTTAATTTGATGTATCAAAAACAAGAAACGTATATAAAATCTTGTGATTATGAGTTTGATAAAAAAAGACTAGGTTTTCTAATAAATTTTTTGGCTTATTTGATATAAAATAATTGAGAATATAAAATTCTCTCTCTCATAAATAAATATGGAAACCTGTGTTAAAAATAATTACTTTATTTCCATGTACAAAAGAAGAAAATTTTATGCATGCTGTAGTGGTATAGTATTTTGATGAATTTCTTGTTCTTTTAGGCTGCTTCTCAACATGTCAGGAAAAAACCTCCATAATTAACTGCGGGTCTATCTTGGGTGCTCATCACCTGTGGTGCTTATCAGGGTGATGTGATTTGGACCATCCACATTTTTATCTGGATGGTCTAGATTTAATGGATTATTTTATTTTTTATTTTTATTTATTAAAATAAAAAAATTACAAACATTATAAAAAATTGTTATAAATTTTTTATCATTTTAATTTAAAGATTCTAATTTTATTTTAAAATTTTTATATATTGATTATTCAAATGTATTTCGCATAATTCAGATTTAATAAAAATATAAAATAATTTTTAAAAATATTTATAGAAAAAACATACAAGTCAAAATTTTTAAATTTAGACTGTATAGAATGCATTTGGATCTGAATGATGATAAAAAATTTATTATAATTTTTAGAAATTTTTATTTTAATAAATAGAAAATAAAAAAATAATTTATTAAATTTGAACCATCCAGATTAAAATCTGAACAGTCCAAATCACATCACCCCCAGGTGAGCACCCAAGATGGATCCAATTAATTGCATGACTGGGATATATAAAACACTTGCATAAAGTGTACAAAAGAAAGAGTAGTTGAATCAACAAATGATACTCCAGTTAATAAAAATTTGACACATGACACAACATCATAGGATCAAATTTGCCTCTAATGTGATGATTTTATTAGTAGATAAGTACCTTTATAAATACTTTTTGAGCCTGAAATTTGCTTTGGGCGTGAGAAATTTTAGATGCAACTCATCTAAATTTTTGTTGATAAAAAGAGAGAGATGACTGAATAAAAAATGACTTAATAAAAAATTGTTTCAAAATGACCAGTCGGTTTTTGACCCTTTTTCTCCGATCTTTGACCGATTCCTTGGTGGTCCATTCGACTTAGGTAACATACCGGACCGGATTAATAACTTCCGGTTCAACTGGTTGTACCGTTAAGCTTGATTAATGTGCTATTGGATGAGGGATAGAGAGAGAGAGAGAAGCTTACCGAATAATAAGGAGCAGCGGCGACGACGTTCATAGGGATATCGGCGGGAGAGAGGGAAGAGGAAGAAGAAGAAGAGAGAGCGAAGAGCGAAGCCTGAAAGAGCTGCGTGGAGCCATTTCCGATGACAATGTGCTTATCGTGTGTCTCTGCGTTGCCAACCAGAGCATGAAGCCTTTTAATGGCGTGTCTGAGCTCCGGCGTCATGAACCAACACACACTCCTCAGATCGCTCGCATAGCTCAGAAATTCCCAACCCTTGATCACCACCGTACATTCGTCGCTCATCTTCCTCCAGTACGACTCCAACAACACGGTATCTCCCCTGCAATTCATTCATATCTAAAATATTCAAACCCTTAAACAACAACAATTTCAAACCAGCAACTATTATATCAGATCGAACTTCTTACCGGTCGAGATTGACGACGGAGGAGATTGGAAGAGAAGCATTTGTATCAGAGGAGGGCAAGCCATTGTTGTGGAGATCAGGAACTGCGGGAAGATTTGCCAACATATTGTTGGACTTGTTCTGTACGTACGACGTCGCAACGACTAAGTTCGATCTTCACTCTGTGGAGTTGATTTCTGCTCCATGATTCGGTAGGGGGACATTTCAGAATATTGGGCCTCTCTTTAAAGGGGGTTGGTTTCAGTTGTCAGCGCATGGTGGTGGAATAATTTAAATGATCTAAATTTAAAATATTATTATATTTTATGTTTATAAAAATAAAAAAATTAATTTTTTAATCCTCCAATTTTTAATTCACTTATAACTTAATCCCTCAACTATGACTCGCTGTGTGACTCAGTCCCTCAACTATAACTCGCTTATGATTCAGTCCTTCAACTTTTGAATCATTTACAAATTAATCCCTGAATTTTTGTTAATTTTTTTCCATGTTAATTTATATCTCACATTAATGAGTAAGAGGAGGGTATTTTAAAATAATATATGAGTATTTTTTTATCTCTCTTATTTGATAAGAAATTTTTTTAAAAAAATTAAAAAATAAGGACTGAATTATAAGTGAATCAAAAGTTGAGGGACTGAGTCACAGCGAGTCATAGTTGAGGAACTGAGTTATAATTGAGTTAAAAGTTGAAGGATTAAAAGATGAATTTTTCCAAATAAAAATTTATAAAAGTTATAAAATAATTTTAATAATTTTTTATTTTTAATATGATCTAGATTTAATTTAAATGATCCAATTTAATATTAAGAGTTTTATAATTGATGTATATTGACTATCCAGATATACTTTGCATAGTCCAAATTTAATCTAAATAGTCAATATATATTAATTATAAAAAAATTTAATATTAAATTGGGCCTTTCAAATTAAATCTAGACCATATTAAAAATAAAAATTATTAAAATTAAAATAATTTTAATAATATTCATTTTAATAAATATATAATAATATTTTAAATATGGATCATCTAGATCAAATTTTAAATGGTTCAGATTTCATCATAATAATAAGCACCATGGTTCTCTTCACTATGATGTGCATTGAAACCAATCTTTTCTTTATATATATAATTTGAAAATTAGGTGCCTTTTGGTTCCTCATACACGTTTCTCTTTTTGTGCCTTGGTTTTTTTTTTTTTGGAAACAAAAGATGATTCATTCATATATTAAGAAACAAGATCAAGATACATTTAATAGGTCATTTCTCTCCCCTTCCTCCTCTTCTTGGATAAACAGAGGAGGATGGTTAAAGAAATTATCCTCCATGTTAAATGTCTGAGCAAACTTCGCTAAAGCATCAGCATGCTTCACAAAGTTTCTAGGCATGTAAATAATATTTACAACCCAATTTCTCTTTTTGTGCCTTGTTAAAATATTCATATATACTATTATTCTTGTGCATATTGTATTTGTATTTTTTTAGGCAAGCTCCCCAACACTAAGTATTTAACGCAGCTATATTTTTAAAATTCAAACTTGTGACCTTTGAAATCGAAGAGTAGAACTTCCCAACTAATTTTACTAGTGGTAATATTCTTTGTAGATGTATATTCAATATTATTTTTTATTCTTTGTGAAACCAATAAAAAGAAAGAAAAATGTTGAACTTATATATCACATCTAGTAATAAACCTGATATTATTATTCTTTGACAAATAATAAAAGAACATATATCTTGCTAATTACAATTGTGTAAATGGGGATGATGTACTTTCTGAATAGTAAATATTTACATGATTGATTGGCCAAAAACATGTTTGTTGATAACAACTTCATGAGTTAAAGTCCAGGTAATTGTTGGTCTTTTAATATTTGATGAGTTTTTTTAAAATTGCCCTCATCAAATTTTGGAAAAAATTGAAATAAAAAGGATATCTGTGACTTTGTAACATAACAAAATATATTTGAAGAAACAAAAGGTTATATAAACATTAAAAATATCACATATACATGAAGTATACATTTTAATAAGTTATTTCCCACGAAAGTATGATAAATTAAAACCAGCAAACCCAATATACTATTTATGTTAAAAAAAGTTGTTTATCGTAATGTTTTTAAAGAAAAAATAAACTGTTTATTAAGGATTTTACAGCTACTGAACATATTTAAGAACACGTTCTCATTAATCGAAAAAATATTTTTATTCAGGAAAAAAATCTAAAACGTGTGAATTTACGTGCATTCTTCTATATTTTATCCAAATATAGATATTTTGAGGTTTTTTTAGATATTTGAATATAACTAAAACTATCAAACCATCTTTTTTAAATTTTTTCGGCCAAAATTTCTTCAAATAATTCCATCAAATGCGCTCTAATTTTTATGATCCACATAAGTATTTTATAAAAAAACTTCCTAACATATATATACATAAAAAGATATAATGTAGCTTTTTTTTTGTACAACATACATATGTATAGCTTTGAAATACTCTTTTGTATATTGTGAGTGATATAAATATGTTATAGTAATTGTTTGGCATCTAAAATGGTGTGCAATTGTGATGGACCTCATAGTATGGATGACATGGCATTAATGGCCACGAAGCTTGAGGATAGTAATCATGAGTATAGTGATATGGAAGGAGCCCAAGGCAAGGAGCAAGAAGCTCAATACTTCCAATCCAACGTACCTAAAAATTCATTACAACATCTTGAAGATCTAACGACAAAAGCCCGAACTAAAGCCATGAAGCAAGCCTTGTTTAGTCTTGTGCAAGAAGTCCAAGAGCTTGGAGAGCATTGGGGCAATCCTCTCAAGCCTAAAGGAGAGTATTTATACATGTATAATGCGCTTAACATCTAAATCTATGAAGAGCCAAGCCCAACAGATGCAAACCTTAGCCCAATGTAAGGAAGACTACAAATTGAGCCTTTGTAAGCAAGGAGGCATGAAATCCTAGTGAAGAAATCAAGAGTGGTATGATTTTAAATCCTTTTATGATCCTTTGATTGTCTCCTAAATTATTTTCTATTTTATGGTCCTTTGACTTGATTTCCTATTTTGAATCTAGTCAAAGATTATAATTAATTATATTATTAATTTCTAAATTTTGTAATCCTATAATTTTAGAATCACATCTCCTAAATTATGTGGCTGAATATTTTCTCATTATTATTTTATTATTTCTCCTTTTAGTATTAGGAAATTAGGATTTTAAATTTAAGAAATAGTCTTCTCTATGATCTTATATATATTAGGCATGCTCCCTCTTGTAAACAAAAGAGAAGTTGAATGAAATTATTTATTTTAGAGTTTATAACTCTTGTGAGCCTTAGTGCTTTGTGATGGCATCCTGTGTGAGAAACAAACGTGATCAACTCTTATGGTGTCTTCGAAGGTTGAGATTCCTAGAGGCAGGTGCTCTAGAGGATTTTCTCCTTGATCATTATTCCATTGTTTATTTTATATCTTTCTTTATTTTTGTCATAAATTTTGTCCCTTTTTTTTGTTCTTGTATTTTTGTTGTGTTTCAGGGTTTTGTCCTTAAACTAGCATGATTTTGCTTTCGCGTGTCCTATCAAATTGTGTACATATTTCGTGTAGGAAAATCTAATATAAATGTTCCTTAAATGATAAATTAATTATTCATAATATTCTGTGCAGAATCATGAAATTGTTATAATTAATATTTTTTATTATGTAATAGTTTAAGAAATAATTCTTATTATTTATGACTTGTGAGTACACATTGTAATACATTTTGACATTATAATATTTTTCAAAATAATTTTTACTTAATTTGTCTCCTACTCCCCTTATATTTCAAAATAGCGTCTAATTGGATAAAGCATTGATTATTTTTATACCATTTTATAATTTGATGATAAAAATAATGGTATAGGTCGACCCAAATATAATTAATTTTATCCATTTTCCTTTAGAGATATATTGCCAAACTAATGAGTAGTTAGTCCAAAAACACTTGTACAAAGGCCACAATATAAGTTGTAAATTTATAAATATTCTATAACTCGTAGATGTCACAAGAGAAATTGTGAAAGTTTTTTATCCAATTATGTTTACAATTCCTTCTATATAATATTCAGAGTCAACCTAAAAATATTTAGGGTGAAATGAGAATTGGCTTCTAAACTATAGTTCTAGAAACATTTAAGACTGTAAACTCATTTTTAATGTAAAGTTATTTTCTAATTTTTGCAAACAATGCAATGCCACCCTTATTGTTAATAAAAATTAACTTTGACTATTAATTGACAGAAAATAAGAGAAAAGAATCTCAAGAATTACAAAAAAAAAAACAAAGGATCAAGAAATTTTTTTGGTCTTTTTTGTATTTTTAGTGTCATTGTATGTATTTTTGAGTCTTTATTTATTTTCTTTTTTTTTTGTAGTTTTTGAAACTTTTTTCTGTCATTTTTTGGTCAAAGAAAATTATTTTTAATGATAGGGGCCAAAATTATACAGTTTTTAAAAGTTAAAAAGAAGCATTACACCAAAAATTGATTTAAAATACCAAATGCTCCTAAATATATAGCAGAGGTTGAACTGCCTTTTAACCTAAACATTTATAACTTATCATGTATTTTTTTTTTGGTACAATTTTTTTTAAAAAATTATTTATAATAACTCAAATTCGAAACTTATTAATTGGTTTTGTTCACGCTTTTTAATTTTTAGTGCTATAAATAACACTACTTTGGAATGAAATTGAAATAATAAGTTATATTTAAAAATATAAAATATTTTTTGAGAGGTTAGATATTAAAAAAATATAAGATATTTTTAATTTTTTAAAGTATAATCATTTTTTTAAAAAAGGGCCCCTATTAAATAAATTATTTTGTATTTATTTTAAAATAAAACACCTTATTAAACAGAGATAAATGTAAAAAGATAAAACTAATTTAAAAACATAATTAATTTATTGAGAGTAAAATTAAGTTAAAATATCTTATATTTTTAATGGGGCAAAGTATATATCAAGTCAATGCGCATGGTATATGGGTCTCAGCCGACTGTGCATGACCAATTCGTGTTGGGAGGAGTGGGCGGGTAAAAAGTACATGTGTTTGTTTGATGACTCACGTCTCACGATTTATATACACTCACAATTCTTTTGATAATATATTTAATATAAGATAAACTTAACTAATTTCATATTTATCAAAAATTTATATTTATATC